ATATATATATATATCAAGACAAAATAAATTACCTTAAGTCGAGTATCAGCAGCAGAGGATAATGTTTCCTCCATTATTTTTCCAACATCATTTTCCAACATATATTCAGGCCTGGCAATGAGAACAAACCCTAGTGCCTACAACAGTTACAATAAAACATTAACAGACTTCAAGATTAAACACAGATAAGAACTAAGTTGACAAATAAATCTTACCTGCAATGATCTAACCTTGATGACAAAATCCTCCATAGAGAGATACTTCAAAAACAATCTTAAACTGCTTCCAACATCAATAAGTTTATTACTGGTACTTGCTAACAATTGATTTCCATAACGGAAAAGCAACCCAAGACAGAAGAGAGATCGTCCAACTTTCTGTACATAGCAGGGAACAATCAATTTTTTATTTTACATCCCAAAAAACAATTAAAACAACCTTCATCATCAATCTAAATAAAAGATAAGTGTAATATAAACACTCTACAACACAAAAATACATTATAATTTTCATATCCAACTCCAAGCTATATATTCAAGACCATAATTCTCTACATGAGCTATATAATCCAAGAAATAACAGCTTTCCTTGACACTAATTTAATTACCAATTATCAGATGTATGCATTATTTAGGATAATCATAATTTTTAAAGAAACGATAAATGAGTACTGAAATCAAATCAACTTAACCCACCCCCTCAAGCCCAAAACTAGACAAGTCAAATGTAAGGTTTGCAAGACCAGAAGATTAGACATCTACTGGTAACCCACATCGACTGGATATGCTCTAATGACCAGTGTTGTTAAATGGAAGCCATGGCAGATGGCGTTGGCAATTCTTCAACAAACAGCCATATCATGGTGGTATGGAGGGTTTTAAATGGCAGCCCATGGTGGCCACCATACACAAAATGCCTGTGGCAGCCATGGAGGTAAATCGCATAAAAGCATTAAAAATAATTGGGCCAAGTAGCCCAACCTGTATCCAATCCATGAAAGTGTTTAAAACCTTCACAAGCAGAAAGTCAGGTTTCTCTTTCTCCCTCACAAGTCTTGTGCTACCAAGCATCCAACCTCCAGCAACCTCGAGCCCTGGCAACCTCTGTCCTCCTTTCTCAGGCACACTCCATTTCCAATGAACAACTGTTTTTTTGTTTTTTATTTTCTATTTTGTTTTCTTTAATTATTTAAATTATTTTTTGTCTCTATTTTTTTCTTTAATCATTCTTTTAAAATTCTGTTTTTATCTATAATATTTATACTTCTTTTTTCTAATATTTATACTGGTTGTTAATTATTATTTTTTAAAAGTTGTTATATACTGCATAACCTGTTTCAATTCCATTTTCTTTGATTACTCTTTATACTGTTTTGAATTAGCCTTTTTATATATATACTGCAGTTTTGAATTAGCCTTTTTCTACAATGGCTGAAGCTTCCTTCTGTTCCATACTTCTTGACATCATTCATTGGGATTTTTGTTTCTGCCATTTTTGAATTATACATATGTATTTTTACTTTATCCACTGTGACTTCCAACACAACATCCACCATATGTATGTATTATTATGGAGGATTTTCGGATCACCACCATCACCTGCCATCCGCTATTGATAACACTGCTAATGACTAATACTTTTCCACCCAAAGCTGGGCTACCTCTACCCTCCCAAAAAAATCTTGTAAGGAGATGTTTAGCCCTCTTCCTAGCCAATGTGAGACACTTTAACAAGAATAAATAAATAAAAGTTACAAATGATTTCCACATTACAATCTTTCTAGGTAATGTGCATACAGCATACAACAAGTTATCAATAAGTTGAAAAATACTGCTAAAAGTTGCATGTGAATAAACTTCAAAATTGGATGTACCATATCAAAATTCAAATTTTAACATGAATTTAGCAATAAACCTGCTTGTTATCAACTGCTTGAGTATCCAAACATTTGAAGAAGTATTGAATAAGTTGTTCAACTACAGCAGCCCCTTTTCCAGCCATCTTACTCACAGAACAGAGGCACCTGATACAGAAAAAGTAATGAGATCCAGAAGTAGGTGAAAGGAGAGCAAGCTCCCTTCTCTTAAAGTGGGGAAAAACAATTTCTTTTTTCTAATCATAATCAAGAAAATTAACACATAATATAATTGCAAACTATAATCTTAGATGCAGTTCAAGGTTTTCAGAAACATTTCACAAAATACAGTCATAAAATTTCTGTTCAAAGACATGCTTTTACACTGGTATTTATGAATTGCATCAGAAAAAATATTTAGATATTCTCATATTATGCATCAAAAAAATTGTTTAGTAACTACAAACTGTTGCACATCAGGAAAAACTATAGAAATCCACGTATGAAGCTATCAGCTGGTCAATTTCGGGATGAAGTGAAACAGAAGAATTAAAAGGACACAGCTAACTGAAGAAAATAATTCTAGGAATCGTAAGTACTTGATACAGGCATGGACAACTGTCAAGAAAGAATGCCGGACAATCATCAGTTTCAAGTCTTGCTCAAGTTCCCCAACAATACTTGGAGGTAACTTCCCAAGCAGGGGCAGCACAGCATCAATTATGAATAGTATACTCTCAAGTAGCTGCGCAACCATGCGATTGTCAACCTGAAAACAAGATATGGTGCACTAGTCATTTTCAAATTATACTTTCTTGTAGGCCAAAAAGACTCGAAAATATAATGAAATATCAGAGATCAAAAACTACATGACTAATAATAAGTAGATCAGGACCAACGCAGAAACTAAGTGCCTAATAGAATTTTGGTTGGATATCCAAGTCAGTAATATGAAATTTCATATAGTACATGTACATGCCTATCTGAAGTCTTAAATGTGGAAGTAAGAGGGGAGGATGGGGGAATGAGATTGATATGCCTTGTCCCTGCCCCAGCACCCTGCCACAACAATTTATTTTTTACCTATATCAATACTATTAAAAAATTTAATGCAATGCCTCGTGACAATTCAACAAATAATCATATTTATTATTTAAATAACAAATATAGTATTATAAGTGGAGATTCCAATCATAATATAATAAAAGGACAGCCTTTAATCATGAGCTGGGTCACTTAGCATACTGAACTCCATGTGAGCCGATTTCACCAGCAGTGTAAGTGAAGCCCACTAAGAGGTACCATGAGTCAAAAGCCAAGCAAACGCTTAATCAGGAATTTAGTGCCAGACCCAAAGAACATTGGAAGCCTCATAGTTTGGGCAGGTCCCCGACGAGCAGAATGGCTAAAATAAAGAAAGGCATCAAGGTTTTTTGTGATTATGAAGTACATACAAGCTCAAAATAGCAAGTTTATCATTTTCTATACACTCAACTATACACTGATAGTCATTATTTGGCTGAAAAGGTAGAAGAGAAGAAATGAAAATATAAAGATGAATGTGTGGTCACCCAAGGACAAAATATGAAATGATTGTATACGAGGTGGGGCATATTTGAATAAATTTCTCTATAAGCACTTCCAGAAGAAAAAAAATAGGAAAGAAAAATCAAATTAACTTCTCCATAAGCAACTAATGCATAAGCTAATTTGTAAAAACTCTCTCATATTAGCTTTTCCACAATTTTATTTTTAACTTGTGCATACACTAATTTTAGCATAGCTTATGAACAAGCTTATTTCATTTTTCCTCCAAATTTTCTTCTCCTATAAGTGCTTTTAGAGAACTTTATCCAAATTTAATCTTATTGGTATGGCACCAATTGAGGAAAATTGACATGAGAACAGTTAAGATGGTTTGGACATATACAAAGAAGGCTACTGTTATCCAAATATACTCTTATTGGTATGGCACCAATTGAGGAAAAATGACATGGGATCCATTAAGATGGTTTGGACACATACAGCGAAGGCTACTGAAAGCCCAAACGAGGAGAGTAAATTGCATGGTTTTTAGCCTGGTGAAAAGGGAGAGGAGGAGGAGAGCAAGAAAGACTTTTGATGAAATTATGGGGGACTGGGGGTTTCTTCTCAATGTTGTTTGCTATATTAAAGTTATTTTGAAAAACGCTTGTGCCAAAAATAAAACTTCATAATAACAAGAAAAATTATCAGACTTCGTATGTACTCACAAATATATATATATATATATATATATATATATATATATATACACACACACGCACAAGTTAGAATTATATCTCAATCTCAGTGAAATTTCAGCGGCATATCTATTTTTTTATTATTTTAATAATGGTTATAACTTATAATAAGATATATAAATAAACAGTATATATGCATAACCAGAAAGGACTATAGAGAATGGTGATAGTTAGCAACTCCCTATTAAACAGGATTATGTGAGACAATAAAAAAGCAGCAGAGGATCCTAATTTCTGGTCTGGTAAGAGGACAAGTGGGCCATTTACTAATTATTGGACAGTTTGGCTCTAGACACGGACAAAATAATAAATAAGAAGGAAAAGAGAAATAGAGGGGTGGGGCATACATATTGGAGATTGTACACAGACATTTGGGGGGAGAGTCCTGAATCTATTGAACATCCAAGGGATGCTTATTCTTGTATCACTGAACTTCTGTTAATTCTTCTACCTAACCCAAATTCAGTTACCTCATCAGTACCAGATTTAGGTATGGAACTCCACCAATAACATCAATTCTTTTCTTTCTTCTCATCTACTGGTCCAGTTTTATCAGATGGAATATACATCTCAACCTCGGCTCACCCAAAGCTCAAAACGACTCCAACATGGACATGACACAGCAATGCTGAAATCTGATAGAACTGATATCATAACAATAGGAAAGAACAGGTTTTTATTGAATGAAACTAGGAAGCTCCCTGGGAACTAAAACACAGCTCCAGATATTTCCAAATGTCTGGATCCCATCCTTTCTCTGGTTTCTCAACATAGTTGTCAATTCTGCATAGCAGAGTGGCACAGCCAACCACAAAAGTGGGATTGCAGATAGCCGGATGACCGCCATTCTAATATTATATATATATATATATATATATATATATTAAATAATTCATGATATACATAAGCTAAAAAAACAAAAATAACTCAAAATTCATGCATTAATCATTTCCAGTAATAAAAGTTCATAGTACTTAAACAAAAAATAAATAAAAAGTCAAGGAGAAGAGGTGCCTAAAGCTTTAAATCATCTAAAGCAAAAGCCTAAAGTACTAAGGAATAGGATAACAGTACCACTGATGATGTCTATAATTAAAGTACTAAGCTTTAAAAACCTAAATAATTCGATCTTCATCCTGCTGACCACTGATGGTGAAGAACAAAACATAAAAGTAAAAAAATGAAGAGAATAACAAAAATTGATGCTGTTGCCAACTATAAAAAAAAATAAGAGAAAAAGGAAAAGAAAGAAAAAACAAGGGAACAGAAAAATAAATAAATAAAAATAAGAAGGGAAAAAAACTCTAATTAACTGAAGTAATTTTTTTATTTTTTGTAAACAGTAAACTATTCTGCCCCAACAACTCCACTCTGCAATTTTGCGCCTGCTCCAGCGCTACGAGGTTACTGTAGCATCAAGGAGCCTCTCCGCTGCAATACTGACCACTACGGCCTCTATTGTCAACATAGTTTCTCAATTATCAAAACCCCCCTAAACTGTGTACAGTTGTTCCTATTTATAGGCAGCTGGTGGTATATGATATGGATACACCAGTGATTTGGTCCCAGCAAGGGCACATAACAGTCCACTAACATAGATCCACCTTTAATGGGCCTAATCATTTGCAGGCCCAGTCTCCTTCCATCTAACGCAAACCCTTGTATTTCTTTGGCCAATTAACCCATCTAACTAATTACTAACATAACTAACTAATGGGTATCTATCAAAATCACCTTTCAGTACATGTATGGTGCTAATTAAAGCAACAAAAGAGAAATGTTGCACAATTCATAAAAACACTGGAGTAGCCAATATATAAAAGATAACCTGAGTCTTCAAATATGGCTGCAAAGTAACAACAAATTGAGATGGGTTTGAAGCTGGTGCACAGAGAGTTGGGTCCACAAGACAAAATGCATGCAAGACTAACACATACGGAAGTGCACGCACTTCAACTTCATCACTGTTCATTTCATCAACCTGATCATGAACAAAAACTGTCATTTGCATATCAATGTAGCCAGGCACAGAAGTTAGCATATAAACAAGATACTATCGTACCTGCAATATCTTCTCCAGCAAGCATTTGCACATCATCTCACAACGCTTCCGCACTGTTGCAAGGGACCCTGGGTTGACCCCAATGGCTTTTGCAGATTGTGGCAAAAAATCAAGTGACAAATTGCGCTTTATTACAGTTACAAGAAGCTGATTAATGGGTATAACAGGTTGATTATTGCGCATTTCTCTCAACATTTCAACAATTTGCTCTGTTTTCTTAACTATCTCAAGTGGAACAGTACTGCCATCCCCAAAGACCTGAGTTTGCAACGCAGGAGGCTCCTCAAACCAGAACTCATTAAATGTTTTGCAAACAAGGTCCTGAAAAACCAAAGCATAACAGAGAGAACAGTCTTAACAATTGAAGAGAGTGAAAGCATTGACAAAAGAATCAACAAACATATTATAGGCTTAAAATCAAATAAGTACAAGTTTACATCCAATGACTAGTAATTTACATGGAATGATGGAACTACCCATTTAAAGAGTGCCAATGAATCACATATCATCAATGCTATAGAACAAGACCATGTTGAGAAGAAAGTATGTTAATCTTCAAACAAAATTATAATTTACACTAAGAAGCATAAATTATAATTCTAGACAGCTAGGTATATAGAATTTCAGATACACAGTAACATATCTTAGATGTTCTAGCAATAATTTTAAAATACCTGGATGCTTGCTTCATCATCACTGACACGTGAAATGATCTCTATGCATGCTCTTGTAAAGCCAGAGAAGTTGGCATTTGAAGTGCACATATCTCGAATGATTTTTATAGCTCGTTTTCGAACACTTAGTCCAGTATCTTTGATTCTCTCAGCAATCTTCTCGAAATACTACAATACACAATTGAGAAAACTATTTAAACAATTCATCAGCCCCAGGCATGAAGTGTCTCCATGCATAAGAAGTTTACATGAAAGAACCAATTTTGCTATTGACCATTAAGGAAAGATCCTGTGACACATACCTTAAAACCCACATCTGGATGTGAAGCAATATGCCTACCAACAAGTTCCAATGCTGCTTCTCTAACAGATATAGCAGAATCACAAAACCTTCCTTCAACAGCTGATTGTATTCGCTTATCACCCAATACCTCTGGATCAGCCTCTACAATGATACTAATCTGCTCATTACATTAAATGAAAGACGAGATTAATTTGGTGCAAAGAAACTATTATAAGCATCACATTTTCACTGGAAAGTAGGAGACTTGAAAAATATTTAAAACTTACTGCTTTTAAAGCCTTAGCCCTAATAACTGGAGAGTTCTCCCTCATGCTTGTCTGTACACAACATAAGAAAAATTAGAGAAGAGGCATGATTTTAGACAAATTATGGAAAGGATAAATATCAACATACCAGAAGCGTGTGAATAATCTTATCAAATCCTCGGCAAAATGAACTGTTTTGGCCCAAAGCTAAAGTAATCTTCTTGATTGAATCCCGTGTCAACATTGAAGACACAGTACCAGAATCCCGTACTATGATTTTTGATTTCATTCTGGTAATGTAGTAAATGGACTTTTGCTGACAATTTGAATCATCTTTGTACCACAAGCACAGATAAAACCTGCACATCATACACATGCATTACCTTTGCATATTTATAACTAAAATGACAATTTTAAGATCTGTCTAGAGTACAAACCAGCAAATGAAAAGATGCAGATCATCAGCAGAGGTGGCATCTTGAAGGAAATTCAAAAGAAACTGTTGAACAATCTCATGCTTAGGAATTTCAGTTTTTTTTGACACATTGCGATTTTTTTTAACATCATTCTTGCTCTGAGAATTGCAACATGATTGTAATACAAGTAGTTGCTTATGACAGATGCATGTCTGGCAGGACCAGTTTCGACTGGAAACTTCATGTTCTTTAATTCCCAGGCAATCAGCATGAAAAAGCCTCTGGCAATCATGACATATGAACAAATTTTCTACCCTTCCCCCCAAACAGACACAACAGGCATCGTTTGGAAGATGCTGGGTAGCAGCATCCTGACTAGGTAAATCCTGAAGAATCCAGAACTTTTCCTGGCTACAAACCAAAGCATCACGCTTCAACCTTGCAGCAATTGTACCAAGAATATCAATCGCCATGGAACGAACAGAGACGTCCTTAGATTTCGGCCCAGCATTCTGAAGTAGTAGAACACAGAGAACCTGAAACAACTCAGAAGTAAATTAATCTGATGCAATTACCAAAATAATATGTACACATATGCAGATCCCTACACTAACACACCCATGCACAATCTACCTCTAGAATAGGAGCTGAAGCAGGATATTCAGGTAAATTTAGAGTGGTCAGTAAATCCGTAACAAGATTCTCTATTATGGTTTTCAGCTCCGAAGCATCCTGAGTCTTCACACTTGCAAAACGCTGAAGTACACGGCTCCAAAATAGACAGCAGGCTTCTGTCGTTGCCTCATGGCATTTAGTTGGATAACTAGCATCAACCGAGGCTTCTAATACAGCATTACCATTTGATGCTTTTCTTAAGGCATCAGGAAGGTTAGCACTGCAATGAATCAACTGAATAAGCAAAGCAGTAACCATTTGGATCTGCCTTTGCTCTTCTTCACGAATGTGATAAGATCTTAAAGCTCGTTTTGAAAACGGTAACTTCCATAAAAGCTGAACCACTTCATCTATCACATAAGTGCGATGTTGTGTGTACAAATAGAATATCTGCACCACCATATTGGAAAAACAACAATTATATAAGAGAATATGCTCACAATTATAGAAGAGAACTATACCATCATATGAGCATTAAAGATAACAATTACACAGCTGTAAAAGTGAAGTATCAGTACCGCACTGAGTAAACTGATTGCCTTCAATTGCAAAAGCTGGATATTATCAACCAAAAATGTTGTAATGCTTGTTTTTACAAGTTGTAGTATGCAACTATCTGATAACCTCTCTATTAACAACAAATCCTTCAGTAGTCCAAGAACAGTGCACAACTTCTGAAGAATAGTATTCACAGCAGTAGAGAGCCTGAAAAAGCAAGGACCAGCAACATAATATTAACAAATGCATATAGTAACTAATCTAACTCTAGATGCATAAGAAAACCAACTGAAAGGACATATAATGTGGACAAAAATAATAATACCTGCTCGATGCTGATTTCTTCGACTTTGAAGCCTTACTAGTTCGCCGTTTCTTGCTAGCTGAACCAAATTCAGCATCATTTTCTTCATAATCATCAACTGGAAAAAAAAATATAAAGATTAGGAGTTTAAAACCAAAGAGGAAATAATCTCTTCCATTCTCTCCCATAATTTCCATGGTCCCCAATGGGCCCTATTATATATTTTCTGTGAATTTTGTCATCCCATGGTGGGCCTCAAAGAAATCATAATACATCATCAACTACAAACAAATTTTAGTCAGAGATACAATTTAAAAGGAAAGTGCTGCACTTTCATACCATTTTCATCCTCCAAAATGTTAAATTAAGAACTGTAATATGTATCTGTGTGTTCTATTCCGCACAACTGCACAAAAACTAAAAAGGCTAACCTTCAAATGCAGTGTTTTCACTAGGTCTATGTAACGCACGGTATGATGGATCACATGCACACATAACATCCATTATCTGATGCCTGGAAAACTCCAGAATTCTCTCAATGATCTGACATGGATAAATTACTTTCAGACATTATAGATTATAGTTAAAAACAAAAAAGGTAACAGCCTACACAAGTTATGAAATCCAAATCAACATAATCATCAGTTTCACACATAAACAGAAATAATTCTCTCCTGCTGAAACCAGAGAATTCACTCCCAAAAAAAATGCACAGAATGTTTATCAATGGTCATAAAAAGCATGGCAAAACGGAAAATGCTGCTGAAGGAGCTTTATCTTTGTATATACTTCCTTTGCCAGAGAAATATCCTAATAAATTTCACGTTATTCACAGTAATAATATTTGCTTTAAACTAGCATAAACAAAGAGCATACCTCTTCTTTATAAAGTTGCTTTGGCATATCCGTATGAGCCATCACTGCTAGTGCAGCATGAATGGACTCTAACGCAATTAAAACAGAAGAAACTAACTCCGAATCCGACTGAAACAAAGAATAATAACAAAAGAAATCATTAATATGAATTCACTATGTAAATTATGATTAAAAAACTGAACACAACTACAATACCTTAATCTATAATCTATAACACAGGGGATACGTTATTGTAATAACCTTTTATGGTTTCATTTTTTAGCAGACACTTCTACCCCTAAATTTATATTACACACTTCATAATTGTTAAAACTATTCACCCTCCATAATTAAAATAACCACCCATTACAGTTATTTATTTTTAAATCTTAATATTTTTTCTACAACCATCTTCCCAAAATCTTTCAACAAAAATAAATACACAAAGGCACAATGTGCCTCTTTCCCCTACTAGTACAACTAATGGGGTCAACTAAATGAACCAAACAGAACCTGTTCGGATCTATCAAAAGCCAAATCTTAAATAAATCCATGGTCCATCTATTGCAAGGTCATTATAATGGTCTCCAAGTGTTTACTTCAGTCTTCCCAGACCTCCTTTAATTTAACTACATGATTTTAAAAAAAAATAGCTTAACATATAAAGATTTTGGGCTTAAATAATATGAATAGTTTATTCACGAATGGGATCAAGAATAGTATTTGACAAGGCAATGTAGACACGTTACTACCATATAGTCAGATTGACCATGACTGTAGTATTGCATATATTGGTGAAACCTCAAGAACTGACATATATACTCAACAGACAATTTTTCACCAAAAAAAATAGGCAAACTAGATCTGTGTGCTAAAGCCATTTTGATATTAAGTTTCTGTTTACTACCCAATAGCAGATATAAGTCATATTTTAATAAATTTTATTAGAAAAATTGAGGTCATTCACTGTCAACAAAATCCAAACAAGCTTAAAAAATTCAGTATACACTAATACAATATACAAAAGAATTGAAAGGTGAACTTACATTATCACATTCCTCAATTGACAGGCCTTCTGCTCTATGTATCTGATGATCTAGAACTGTTAATAATCTAACAAGAACTTCTACAGGAACCAAATGCAGAAGTTTCTTTTCACATATAGATGTTATTTCATTGACAAGTAATCTAAGATCTGAAAGAGGCAATGGCAACCATTCTGCTTCATCTCGATCATCACCATGAAATTCAGATTTGTTGCACAAGTCCTCCAAAAACTCATAAAACCTTTCAATGTGGGCACCTACAAAGATTAAAAATACCAGTTGATTACACATGTAAAAACAGCATGCTTGCAATGTGTGCCTGCAGACATGTACTTGAAGCTTAGCAGAATCAGATGCTATAGATATAGAGAACAAACAATAACATTAAAATGTAGGATTTTAGGAACCAGGCATGCAGCAACCTTCCAGCTCAGGAGAATCAGGTGTTATAGATATTCTAACGCCACCTTTCAAGAACATAGAGTAAGAGTCTCTCTAATTTATATATTCAAATTTATAATTTAAAAATATATAATAGAAGTATATATATTAACAGTATATTATTTAATAATTTTGTAATTTACAATTTTATCTCTTCAATATTTGAATTGAATTTTCATTTTACATTTCAATACAATAATATTATTTTATCAAAGTGATTTATTTTTACATAAATGATGTTGGGTGTTGTGTAGTTACTAATTAAAGTAATTCAATTGTACAAAATGATTTCAAATCAGCTAAAATTCGAGTTAGTAGTGTTCAAGATTAAAAAGTACTTGCATACATAGAAATAGAGAACAACCGACAACATTAAAAGTAGGATTTTAGGAACCAGGCATGCACCAACCTTGAAGCTCAGCAGAATCAGGTGCTATAGATATTCCATCGCCACTTTTCTTTTTGACTTTTGATTTTTTAGAAGATAATGTAGAAATATCCTGCCAAATCATTTTGAAAATTAACAAATGAAAAGAATCAAATATCAACTGCAAATACCAATATATTATATATATCTATACATTTGTGGAAACATTATCAAGCTGGTGTGTATGTGTTGGATTGTAGTCTTTTGGAATCTGACTTTGGATAGGAAGACTTGATTCAGACTGCCTCTTTTCAGGTAATGCACTACCAGAGATCTGCTCCTTGACAGGACCTGAGAAACTTGACCAATACAATAAACAATAAGCAGAGCACCATTAAATTATTTAATGGAAAGCCATAAGATCGAAATAAAACATAAGATTTAGGAGGAAAAGGTAAACAGAGCTATAAGTTTGACAGCACAAAACCAAGCTCTAGTTTTACCATGCAAGAAAAACACACTAAGCAACTTAAAAGTTATGATTAACAGTAATTAGTCAGCATGAAACCAAACTTCATTCAATTACAGAAGTTCCTCTTCAAAATAAATCTCATTCTGACTAAACTTTCCCAGGTGCAAAGGTAATCACACCTTCCATCTCAGTCAGATCATTATTGAACAATGAGCAACAACAAACCCATGTGATTTGAAACAAATACACAATGGTGACATTCAGGGCAGAAACCAAGTACTCTGTTTACCTGCAGCACTGTAATCGTAATCAAATGCTTCAGGATAACACCTCAGAACTTCATCGTGAAGTTCTAAAGGAGGCTCATCATCATCCTTGTTCGGAACAACTTTGGCGTCATCTGTTAATTTCCTATAGAGGACAAAATGAACAAAGTTGTATTAAATTCAATAATAAATCCCATAGTAACAGCAGCAATGGTAACAACACAAACATCACTGAAAAGGATGATGACAACAACAATATGTATCCCTTTACCGAGTAGACGTGTCAAATTTTAACAAAGCAAAATAAATTTGGACACGTGAAAACAGCTCAAATAAATGACATTCTATTTATAGCAAATCAACATGGCAAATAAAACGCCACTGGTTGGCGCAAAATGCGTTCTTAAAGTATAGTTAACTATTCTCAACTAAATCCTCTCTCCTTGAAGTTTTAAAAAATCAAAAAGAAGAAAAAAAATCAATTAAAGTTCTCACAAACTATAGCATTAAACACTATGCACAAGATTTTAAAAAACAGTCCGCAACCATGATTTTGACTGCGACATCAAGGATTTTGAAGTGCTCATGACCACAATTGTAACCACATTCGTCCCCAATATTAAGGAATGCGACAAAACCATAACTGCAATTTAAAACATTCGTCTGTGCACTTTATTAAAATAGCATCTAATATACTTACAAATCCAAAACTAATCTGCCTGTGACCTAAACATGAAAGCTTCACGTTAACAGACAATGAAAATTAAAAATAAACTAATTATAAAAAGCAAAAAAATAAAAAAACATAGAGTTAGAGAGAACTATAACTAAACAAGTAAGCAATCAACTACCTAGGTCATGCAATTCATAAGAGTAACAAAAGTCATGTCCTATCGCATACGCTACAGTAAATCGAATGACAATTCAAATGCACGTAACTTCCACTCAAAACCGCGAACTTCAATTGCACGAAAAAAAGTAACAACAATTCAGTCAAACTCTCGAGCCTAATTCAGCACATGCTAACGAGATTCGTGGATTCAACTTCCTAGCGACTAAAACCTCGAAGCGCGCGTAAAATGTCAACCGAAAACCGAAGGAGAAGCTTACAAGTAGGACATATCAGCGCGGCGGAGCAGCTCGGCGATCTTGCCGGACTGCGAGAGCACGTCGACATGGTTGAGGCGCTCGGGCGACTCGACAAGGGGAGGGTCCTGGACGGTGGCGCCGCACCAAACCGGGAGCAGCGGCAGCGGAAGGTAGGAGGCGACCTCGGAGTGGATGGTGTTGGAGAGGCCGATGCCACGGTGGCCGGAGGCCGCAACGACGCCGGGAGGAAAGGGAAAACTCATTGAATTGTCACAGGAGGAGCATGAAGGGTGAAAAGGGAGAAATCTGAGGACGAATTGAGAGGAATTAGGGTTTGGATTGAGAGAGAGAGAGAGAAAGGAGGAGTGTGTGAGCCCTAGAGGGATAGATTTGGAAGAGAATTGCGAAGTGAATGGCGGGGAAAAGAGTGGATTTGCCAAAAGTGTGTTGGAAATGATTATCGCAAGAGGGGTTTCCAAAGTGGATTTGGTTTTTATGTTGTCAGAGAAAAACCGAGTCCAGTGGGGAATTACGTCAATGCCCCTATCCTTTGTGCAAAGATTGTCACAGAAGCTATTACGCAATGGGACTTGAAAAAAAATTAACTAGTAGTGTGAAGAAATGTTGTATAATCAATTATGTAGTACTGTCTTAAAATGACTTATAACAGCCTTGTCTTAAAATGACTTATAACAGCCTAACAGTGATTTCGAATTTGAAATAAAAGCTTTCTTCATTATAGTTACACGTAAATATTCCCTACTTCACTAATATAGATTCATTAGTCTGAGAAGGCATGGCAAAGGGGTTCGGCGGGCGCCCTTGACCCGCAAATTTAAATTGCCCCTGTCTCTGCCCTTAATATCTGTTGAGTGTAAAATTTAGGTCTTCATTCTCGCTTTTGACGGGGTTTGAATTTCTCCGCCCCGCTCCCGCTCCCGTTCTTATTTTTTTTCTTCTTTTTTTTTAAATAAATATAAACAATTTAAAAAAAATAAAAATAAAATAAAATAATATAAATTTTTATATATAAATATTTTTAATTTTGATTTATATATATATAAAAATAATTTTTAATTATATTATTAAGCGGGACGGGGTGAGGGTGGGTATGAGGGCAGGGGCGGGGTGGGTATAACATCCTCGTCCCCGCTCCCGATTTTATCAATCGGGGAAACCTGAACCCGAACCTCATAAACACGGGTTTTCCCATCCAAATCGGGGCGGGTTCAGGCGGGTACCCACCGGAGCGGGTTAGATTGTCATGCCTAGTCTGAGTAGAATGTAGTTACTGTCAATTTCAAACAAAAAACATTTTTAACTTATTAATTATTATCATATTATTTTTAGTTTTTTAAATTTAAAATTATTCATTTTTCAGTCTTTATAATTTTTTAAAAAATTGTAATTTTTATATTAAAATTTTTTTAAAAGATTTATCAAATATTATTATTGTATAAAATCTATTTACTAGTATCCGATAAAAATATCATATTAAACCTAGTTGATATTATTTAATTGTCTCATTTGTGTTATTGTTAACCTAAAGGATTAAAATATAATTTTCTTAAATTACAGATACTACAATAAACAGTCTTTTGTAACACTTAGAATGTTTACTTAATCATTTAATAAACATAAGACTAAAAATAATAGTTTCAATTTTAGGAAGATTAAAAATAAATAAAAAAATTTATAGAGTCAAAAGTAACTAAGGAACTAAAAAAAATATTTTTAAATCATTTTATTTTATTTTTATAAAAAAAACTTACTTTATATTTTTAAAATTTTAAAAGAATATAACAAGGGATGTTAGTATTTACAAATAAAATTCACAAGTAGAAAACGGGTACCTATGACTACGTACCCGTTAATATTCAACTTACATAAATAGCCATATATATATATATATATATATATATATGAGGAGGGATCATTTTATTCCAAGAGTAAGTCTACCTAAACTTATTCCGTTCAATAACTCATGTTTTACATCAAATTTTAACGATCCAACCATTCAATATAAAGTTCTTAATGCATAGATCAAATCTGCAAATTTTTATAAAATTTAAAAATTATTTGATCTTCATTTCATTAATTCAAATTTACGGATAATTATAAAATCATTTTATACCTTGATTCGAATTAATGAAACGAAGTATCAAGTGATTTTCAAATTGTTTAAAAATTTGCAGATTTGATTTATGCATTAAGAACTTTAAATTGAATGGTTGAATCATTGAAATTTGATGTAGAACATGAGTTATTAAATGGAATAAGTCTAGGTAGACTTACTCCTGGAGTAAAAGGATCTCTCCTCTCGATATATATACATATACATATATATATATATATTGACTTTATTGTGTTGAATCTATTAATATTCTAATTTTTAAGATGTTTTCAAATTTGAATTGAATGTGATTTTATTGACTTTTGTAATTTCATTTGAACTTATATAAATTTAATTTTATTTAAGTTTATAATAGTTAAGTATTGTATTTTTTTATCTTTTATTTTGATTTACGTGTAATCGAAATATTTTATTTTAACAATTATTATCTGAACTTTAAACTTACTGGTATTTTAATATGTGTATTACACAAGTTAAATACTTATTATATGCAAATTTATAACGAATTATATCTAAATAAATATTTATGTTTGAATATATACATCATATTTAAAATTATATAAATAGATATTTTTTAACATATAAATTATATTTTAAATTTTTGATAAATAATTCATATTGTAGCATAATATTATTTTTATCTATTAATAATTTATTTTAAAATTTAATTTGTAAAAAAAATGAGAAATTATTTGTAGGAATAGATAAATTTAAGAAGTTGTAGAAAAAAAATAAAGAAGAAAATGGTCTATGTAAATATGAAAACCAAAAGTATTTATTATAAGATATTTTTTTTATATAATACTAGGGAAGTTGAGGCACTTTGTGCCTCTATATTTATTTAAAGGTGTTTAAAAATTATTAATATTTGTTAAATCAACTAATGTTGCAATTAGTCTTTGAATCTCATGGTCTTGTATTCAAATCTAGGGTTTAGTTAATTTTCAATTATATTTTTTTATTTAAAAATTTAAAGGTAAAATAGTCCAAAAATTATATACACAAAAACAAGATATCTCCTTCATAATAAGTATAGGAAAATTGTGTTTAATCCAATTTCAAAGTTTTGGGTTTGAGTCTTGAGTTTGTAAATTTTAAATATTATTTTTATTATTTAAAAATCTAAGAATAAAACAGTTCAAAAATTGTTCACACGAAAATAAGAAATTGTTAATAATGAAAACAAAAAATAGTTATTATAAGAGATATTTTTTTATATATAATAATAATAGTAATAATAATATAATGTAGTTTATAATAATACTTTATCAATAGAATTATGTCAAGTGAATGAATATTAATTTTTAATTTTGAGTACACGAAAAGTATATATATATTGTATGTGTGTGTTTATGTGTTAAAATACATTGACACTTTGATTAAATTTAATGTTGAATTATATGATATTATAATTAAGATCATATATCAAAAAATTTATATTACTAGTAGGAAAAAGGTATTTTGTATATATTGTATTAAAATTAGAAAAATAATTATTTTTATGAAAAATTATTATGATTTCAAAATAAAATAATAAAAAATGAGAAGCTACTTGTAAGAAAATGTAGTATTAAGAAGTTGAAAAAAAATAAGATGATTAATATAAAAATATAAATAAAAAATATAGAAGAATCTCCTTTATATATAAATATGGATAATTATAGTTCACACAAACAAGAATATTTATAATATTAGATAGATATGATCTATAAAAAAATTAGATGAAATTAAATTCATAAAATTAGTTTTGGTTAATTTTTTTTAACAAATCAAAGTATACGTAGACTAATCATTGATATATTAAATTGAATATATACATATAAATAAAGATAAAAAAAAAATGATAGTTTAATATGATATTGAAATTTTGCTTTTGACTAATTGCAAATAGTATATATGAAATGCACGTTTAAAAGATTAAAATATATATATATATATATATATATATATATATATATTATTTTATTTTTTAATTTCACTTATTTTACCTTTTAATTTTTATAGTTTACCCATCCCAGTATCAAAACATGCCCAATATAAGTGACATAAAATACAATACAATATTTCACCAATAACTTTTCATTTTATACTTCATACTGTAATATTATTTTATCTATTTAATTTTTATATGAAAGATATTATATATATATATATATATATATATATATATTATTGGATGATAATAGATAATTGAATAACAATATCAATCAAACTTAAAATTAATTTATAGTGTCTTTACGTTGTTATTTATGATTTATTTATATAATATTAAAAGTTTGAATATAAGTTATAAATGTTTTAATTTATGAAAAAATAAAGAGTTTTTTTTTATAGATAATCTCTCGAAAGTCTTTCTAAATTTGTATTCAAAATGTTATAAATTCTAAACTTATTTCTATATTAAAGTTGGACATATTATATATATTATTAAAGTCTAAATTGATTTATTATTTATATAAGTTTATTTCTAACTTATTACTTATTTAAAAGTTAATTTTATATTAATAATAAAATAAGTGAATGAACTTATTTTAAATAAGTTAATAAATTTATTTCTAAAAATTCGTATGAGTATATTTTTAATTTATATAATAAAAAATAATTTACTTTATTATTATTAAACTTTAGATTAAAAAAAGCTAAACATAAAAAGAAACAATATCCAGACATGCATATTCATCTACATATTATGATTAAAGAGGATAATCGTATAAGTAAAATATATTTTTTTAAAAAATATTTTATCTATCTCATTAATACTACTTATATCATGCCTTTGTGTCATTTAATAAAAAAATTAACATTTCTAAAGGAAAAAAGTTAAAATACGTCTAAAACATATCTATCAGTATTATATATACTCATTAATGAAAATAAAACAACATAATCTTGCAAATCATTATATATATATTTTTACTTATCTTTAATTAGCATTTTTCATTAGTATTTAGTTTAGTTTTCACTAATCCTATCAAAACAATTTATTTTGATGGTTCATACATGATATAGCATGTGACGTCTAATTTAGAATTTAAACTAATTTACATATTAACTAAAACATTAAAAGATGATAAATTCATATCTAGTGGCTAATTTTAATTTTTCACCAACCTTTTGTCCTTCTCATTTTATTATTATGTATGTATTAGTCTTGTGATTTATATCAATATCTCATATCACGTGAAATAAAGAAAATGTTTATTCTGCTAGCATATTTTACACACAAAAAAAATTGAAAGTACCAAATTATATAACGTGCTAATAGTAGAAAAATATTAAAAATAAAAATAAAAAATCAACAACAAAAATCTTTAATGATGGCAATGTTTTTAAGTTTTTAACATCCTAGGAAAAAAAAACCAAAAAAACATAACTTAATAT